TACATCTCTTGCCCAAAAAAATCCCTAGATGAAAAGCACCTACCTGAAGCTGTTTTTGGGAAGTATTATTGCTCAATCAGTGCCCTGTAGCTGGGAAAATGGGATTGTTCTCCAGGTTGTTAGCACTTAGTAATTAATATCTTGAAGCTGGTGGGCATCATTACAGCCATAGCTTGAGGAGGAGAAGCAGCCAGCTTGATGAACGGGGAGAAAAAAGTTGTCCTAATCTGAAAATAAGCTTTTTTTTTTTTTTGTGTTTGGTAAGATTTGGTTGCTTTGTTTGCAAATGTGTGATGAGAACACAGGAGCGAGGCTTTGGGTCCTTGCTGGGTGTAAGGCAAGCGGAGATGTTACTCGTAATAAGTTGTCCTTTAACCACATCCAGTGGTGTTTCCATGTGGAAATGGTTCTTTTCCAGAAATGTCACATGAAATCATTTCCCCAAGGCACTCTTGAGCTCGGTGAGCTTTTGACAACTTCATTTTCCCCTCGCAGGTGGGTGATGCTTTCCCCTTGCTGCCACGCCGTATCTCCAGGAAACAAAATTCGGTTCTTTTTTGCTTCTAACCTGGAAATTCGGGTGCAGACACAGCCACACGCGAGTCTTTTAATAGCAGTTTTGAGTGTTAAAACCTTCCCTGCTCAAACATTAACCCTAAAATTTCCTCGGCGTTGCTCTCTACCAAGTGCCACCGTACCCATGCCTGATGTTGTCGTGCCCGATGGCTTCTGTTGGCTTCATCCTTGCCTCCAGCCCATTTGATACAAAGAATTTGGGAAGCAGATTCGGTATTCATACCCCACATGGGCCCAGCTGAAAGCAGCTGCCGGGAAAAAAGAAATCCCTGTGCTCTTGGAGCCCACTGAAACGTTCCAGCTGCGAAGCCCCCCGTGCTTCTCTCGTCCTCCGCGAGCGCCGCCGCCAACGCGGCAGCCTCGTTGGGGTCGCAGGTAAAGCCCTTTTTGCTCAACGGGATTTATTTCCTATTCAGCAGCAGTTGGTGATCAGAAACCATCGTTTCCATTCCGGCATAAACAGCCGCCTCCCTCGGAAGAGCTGCGTGCTGAACGGGTGTGAAAATTCAATTCCCCTCTTAAACCACCGAAGGACGGCCCTTTCGGAAGCCGATTGCGGCGGCAATATAATTAACCTCTTGCTGTGCCATTCTGCGGGAACATATTGAAGGCTCTCGGTGATAATCACCCCCTAATACTGGTGTCTGCTTTCACACTCGATTCGTAACAGCATTTACGGTAATCCCAGAGCCTTTTGTCAACGCGCGGGACCCGGCCAAGTTGGGAAGCGCAACAAAAGGCGTCGGGGCCGGCGTCGGGCAGGTGTTGCCGGCATCCTGCGAAGCACCAGAACGATTTGAGCCGGGGAGAGAGGCGTGGAGGGTTGTGCTAAAACCCCGGGCACACGAACCCGTGTAGATCTGTCCCTTCTGGGAAGGCCGTTTTGTGCGGAGCCGCTTCGCGTCGCTCTTGAAGGATGAGTTGGGGAGGTCCCCAACCTCTCCCGGAGCCCCTCAGAGTTGTTTTTTTTTGTTTTGTTTTGTTTTTTTTTAAGGTCATCAGAGGTAGAGTCACCCTGTCTTTTAGGGACTCTCAGCTTTTAGCTGCTGGGACCCTTCCTTTTGCTGGCAAATTGCTCAGCGTAATTGCTATGACGCGCTCCGTGCTCCCAGGGCAGGTCCCTTGTCCATGTGGGAAGCTTTCCCCGTCCCAAATCCTTTTCCTAAAGCCACAATAACCCCTTAAATTTAGGAATCTGTGCTCCTGGAAACATGTCCTTGCTCTTTTAACTCTTTTTTTCCCAGCAGTTCAGGGTTTGCTCTGCTGATGCTGCAGTTTCTGAGTGGCAGCACCTCTGGGCTCAGCTTGGTGCTGAGGTCACCCACGATGTAGAGGGGAGAAGCAAGAGAGAAATTGGGCAGATTATCCCTTTTTTGTGGAATATCCCCCAAAAGGATGCAGTTCCCAGTGTTTAGTTTAAAGCCACAGCAGGAAAAGGGGCAGAAAGCTCACAAAAAGACCTGTTTTTTTGAAGAAGCAGGCAAATTTACCCAATACCTTCCTCTTCTCACTCATCTTTTTTGGCAGAAGTGGAGGCTTACAGTTTGATGGCAGCCCTAGGAACAGGAGATTTGTTGTAATTAACAGCAAGTCAGTATTTCTCCCCCTAATTTTTCTTGCCATTGAAGAAAATATATATTTATGTTTCTACAAAAACAGATTTTCCATATTTTTTTATGTTTCTACAAAAGCTTTCACGTTTTTGTTGAAACTTACGTGCGAGCGATCTTAGTTTTGCATTGAGGGAGGAATAAAAAAACGAGAAAAAAAGCTTAAACCATCACTTTTATAAACTTCCTGGGTTTGGGGGAGGCACAGAATAGCAGTAAGGGGCACTTTGGGGTGCTTGGGGCCGTGAAAGCTCGGGGCACAGCCGGGTGTGCACGATTTAAGGCCACCAGAAGGCAGCAGGACCTCGTGTTGTCTCCGCAGGCATCCCAGGAGCTGTTTTGCTCTCCCTGCCTCAAACATCCCCTCTCTGAAGTGGTGTCAGCTCCTGGAACCTCTTGGGGACAAAATCCGAGCTGAAATAACGCCCTACATCACCCTGTGGCATTTGGCCCCTTTCCTATAGGGTGCGTGCCCTCTATAGGGGATGTGATCCTGGACCACATCAGCTCAGAGGCACGATTGGTGCTGGCACACCTCAGGGAGGCTTTTTGGACCTGGCTTTCCCATCTGAAGGTCGGTTTGAGGCCTTGGGGTCCCCGGGCCAGGTTTTTTCGGAGCCCCCAGCCAGCGGTGCCCGGGGGAAGCGCGGCTCCGAGCAAAGCCCCAAGCTCAGCAACGCGGCGCGGGCCTGATAAATGGTGCTCATATCCCATTCAAATATAATGCAAGCAGATTTTTTTTTCTTTTTTTTTTTTTTTTTTTTTTTGTAGTTTGTCTTCCACTGCGGTAGTAAAGTTTTTAATTAGGAAAGCTAATGAGATCGATTAGTCATTAGAAGTGACCTCTGGATCTCCGCGAGGAGCGTGCGCGCGTGTGCCGGGCTGATAACGGGGGACGCCGGGGTATTGTTTGTAATAAAAGCCTGAAGTGTTTGATTTGAGTGAAATGTGCCACGGGGAATACATCATGCGGAGAAAAAAAATTACAACCCTGGGAGCCTGTAATGAAGGGAATTAAACCAACATCCTATCTAAATAACATGATTATCTACACAAAACCCCTCAGCTAGCAAGTAATAATAGAAAACCCAGCTCTTCGGAGAGCCGCTTTCACGAGGTGCTTAATGCTGGGCAGGCGGCTTCCGAAGAGCAGCTCCGGCATGAATACAACATCCAATTACTGCCGGGGAATCGAGTTGAGAGCAGGTGCCAGCCCTTCTGCGTGCCGGCAGCGGGGCCGCTTGCGAGCCCCGACGATTCGAGACCTCCCCGCGTCTCCCGCGAGCGTCGGGCAAGGGGGAGATGGCAGCGGGGGCTTGGTTGGGTTCTGGGCTGATTGGTGGCAACCGGGGGCCCGAGCAGGGGCAAAAAAACAAGTTAATAATGCAATCGACACAGTCCCAGCTTCGTAATTTTGTAAGGTTGGGGTGGAGGAGGCAGGGAGATGCTGGTGCTGTTTGGGGGAGGCTGCGGGGTTGTGGCTTCCCCTTCCCTTCCCTTCCCTTCCCTTCCCTTCCTTCCCTTCCCTTCCCTTCCTTCCCTTCCCTTCCCTTCCCTTCCCTTCCCTTCCCTTCCCTTCCCTTCCCTTCCCTTCCTTCCCTTCCCTTCCCTTCCCTTCCCTTCCCTTCCCTTCCCTTCCCTTCCCTCCCGTCCCTTCCCTTCCCTTCCCTTCCCTTCCCTTCCCTTCCCTTCCCGTCCTTCCCTTCCCTTCCCTTCCCTTCCCTTTCCCTTCCCTTCCCTTCCCTTCCCCCAAAAACAATTCTCAGAAGCAAATTTGTCCAACTTTGCTGTTGTTTTACACAATCCCAATTACAATCAGTGCTCAAACCTTGCAAAGGGCTGTCAAGACTCATGGCACAATCATTGCCCCGAAGAATTTTGTCGGAAAAAGTCCCAGGGCGTAGAAACGGTGGAAAGCCACTTTGATTTTGTCCTTTCCTCTCGTCTTCCTTCCCCCTTAAAGCTGTGGGCTTTTGCAGTTCCTCTGGTTGCTCCTGCGTGAGCTTTTTACCTTTTTTTTTAGATATTTGATATTTGTTTGCTTGTGAGCATCTCCCAAATCCCGTACATTTAGAGGCTGGCTCAATGAAGGACGGCTAAATACCTGGGAAATGAAGATCTTTTAGGACAAAAACAAATAAAAAAGGGAATTTGTCATCCTCCTTTCCTAATCCTGGGGAGTCTTTATCGAATACGTCTCGTTTAATTTTTAACCCAAGCCATCAGAAGCTCCTCAAGGCACTGCCGCTGACTTCTTGGCATTTTGGGGTTTTTAACATTGAGTGTTTGGGCTGTGGATGTGAAAGCACTTGGCCATGGTTTGAAAATTCCCCGTGTTTTGTCAATATAAGATAGAATGATAAATATAAAATATATTTTATATATATATATATGTCTGTGTGTTAAACTTGGGAGCTGCAGGTTGCTCCGGGGGCTAAGAGCCACCTCAAAATGCCTTTTCCTTTCTTTTTTTGGTTCTTCATCTCAACATCCCGGCGAGGACCGGGTTATCCGGGAAGCCCCGCTCTTCTCCAAGGGATACATGATGATGGGTACAAGGTTTTCAAGGAAAATAACGCTTCTGCTTTTCCCTTCAATAATTTTAACGAGAGCATCTCCGAGAAAAACCGCCAGCCCTTTAAATCAGTTCTAAAACCAGCAGACTGAAGTCTCGGCGTGTAGTGTCAGCTTTAATTAGCCGGGCAGTTATGGCTGGATGTTATAAAACCAGGCAATTAGACGCCTTCCTTAAAGCTGCAAAAAAAAATAAAAATAAAATAAAAAAATTGCGGGCCGTCAACGCGGAGAAAACCAAACACACAACTGGTAATGGTGCGAAACGTTCAGTGGGATGAACCGGTGTGTAGATCGTCCCGCAAAATGTTCTCAAATTGGGGGTTCAGGGCAGAAATCTCCGAATGGAGACATCAGGGATCGAGGTTTTGTATGGGAACGTCCGAATTTCATCCCCTTTTCCCCTTCTGCTTTCCCCTAGGTGCCAGCTTGCTCTTCGCGAGGAGCCCCCCGGCCAACAAGGTGATCAAGACGCGCTACAGGATAGTGAAGAAGAACGTGGGCTTCCCCTCCTCCTCCTTCAGCAGCCCTGTCCCCAGCTGGAAGACCAGGCGTTTGGGGACATCCAGGTAACCCTGCCACCCCTCGGATGCAGGACCCGAGAGCCACGACCGCTCCGTGCCGTTACTGCTGCGCATTATTTGCACGAATCCCTTAATTTCTCTATTTGTTTAGCCGCTTCCACGCGGCGTTTATTGACTTAAAGTGGAAAATCGTGTTAGTAATCACGTTAGCCTGAGCCGGGCTGGTGGCAAACGGCTTCCCGCAGCCTGCTCCTTCAGATCCGTTCCCTCTTTGAATTCATTGTGGTTAAATAAGCCGTGAGGATGCCGAGGAAATGCACACAGCTCTCAATATCAGACCTAAGTAGACTTACTGCGTGTTTGGAGAGAGACACGTCCTGCTAATGAGGCGTGGTTGATTGTGGCTGCTCCTGAGAGAACCGGTTCTCTTTCTCCTCCTCCTTAAATACTGGTTTGCTCTTGTCAGGGGCAATATTTTGGGGAAAAAGGGCCTGCTCTGCTCTGCCCGTGCCGTTATTCACGCCTTGGGTAGACCCAAGGAACTGGAGGACGCGTTGGGCTGTCCCCTTCCATTGGCACACCCTACAAGGGTTGACATCAGGGTGTTTTCCTCCAAAAGTGCTTTCCTTCGTCTTCACGCCGTGTTCCAAGGGCTGACCGCTTTCCTGGTGAGTGCTGGCTGCTGTGGAGACTCAAAAGATTGCGGGGATTGTTTTTAAAGCCTGACTTTGCCCGATTTTTCCCCTTGCTCTACGTGGAGTCGGCAACGAGTTTAACAAATATTCCTATCAGGAGGGAAGGTGGGTTTTGAAAAACTTGAGGATGGCGAGGCAAACTTCCAGGAAAAGAGGGGAATTAAAAAAAAAAAAAAGTATTTATTTTCAAACCATTTAAAAAAAAATCTAGAATTAGATTTAATATTTTTTCTCGGTCTTTCAAAACCTTGTAGTTTGGAAGCTTCTGGTCCAAGTGCTTCTTCTCCTATGGAAACCATGGGTTCGGTTGGGACTAACAGCTTTTACCCAAATTTTCTGCATTCAGTCTTACCTGCACCACCTCCTCCTCCTTTTTCTTTACCTTCTACTTCCATCTACACATCCAGTCCCTTTTTGGCAGTCCTGGGATCGAGATATCTCCTCTTACTCCCCTCCAAGAACATTTACTTTGCCTCTTTTGGTACAATTACCGCCCTGCTTCTACGTGCCACCTCCATTTTCGGGTCCCTGGGGGCAAATCCTTGCGTTGTCCTTTCCCCAGCCAAACCACGTCCTCGTTTTCCTGCTCCCTCATCTTGTATTTGTGTTGAATCGAGCTCGCAGACGTGTGCTTGTTACCGACAGATAAATTCCTCGCTTGCTCGCCGCTGTCAGGCGGTGATAGACAAGCCAGACCATCAAATAACGTAATTCTTGTGTTTCTTCTTCGGGCTAAATAGAAACTCCTTAAAAACATTATTATTTATTATTATTTAAAGCACGGCTTTTGTTCTGTGAATTTTATTACGGGAAAAACTGCAGCGGTAATCTCAGAGGCTCCGAGTTTGCTGCTGGTAATTGCGGCTCCCGGCTGCTTTGTGTGCAGGTGAGGATTTGTTTTCTCCTGTTTCCTCCTGCAGTCTTGCCCTTTCCCATTTTCCTCAGTTTGCCTGGGAAGTGGCTGGTTTTTTTCGCCCTGAACCAGCCAATTTGAGCAAATCTTGCTTCTTTATTTAAGTCTGATAAGGGGAAATTTGGTGCAAAGAGAGAGAAAACGTGAGCCAGGCTGGGCTCGTCCCACCCTGGCATCACCCCATTTTATTTCTGGGAGGGGAATTTGTGTCTGGGACGTGCTGATTAAGTTCTGCAATCACTCACAGCCAGAGAAAGATGAAGTTTTGCAGCTTGGGGGGCTTTCTGTAGAGTATCGTGGTGTTGTGTTGTGGCATCACCCAAACTTTTACCCTCTAATTCATGAGCCTGACTCCAAAACCCAGCGGCACGCGGAGGGTCGCCTTGACATCGTATCGGATCTCCTCTTCTGCCCCATTACGAGGTGAACCTCACAGCACCGTGGATGTGTTTAATGAGGGTGAGATAATTAGGTTAGGGGCAGTAGGAGGGGAGGGGGCTGGGAGCAGGAGTTTTGGGGTCTGGCCCAAAACTGCGAGGCCGTCGCTTCGCAGAGGAGGGACCCGATCATCCGCGAGCTCCCACTTGGAGGATAATTTTATCCGTATTAATCTTCGACTTCATTAAATAACGTGCTTTGGATCTTACGGCTGTTTCAGACAAATCTTGATAAAACGCCATCAGCAAATTAAAAACAATTATATTTTCCAGAAGCCATAAATCTCCCGCTCCGTCTCCCAAGTACCTTCGGCGCGTGCGATCCATCATCCCGCCTGGCGGGGGGAAGCACATGGCAAATGCTTCTCCTCTACTTTTGAGTGTTTTTCTCTTCCCTGGTGCTCGTAGCATCCCTTTGGACAAGTAGCAAGGGAATGAGAGCTCCTTTTCCAGCCACTTTGCTGTGCTATTGTCAAAAAAAATGGTTTTGTCAAACCAGGACGGGGAGGAAGCATGGGGCATGCCCGCGTGTCGTCCCCATGGGGACTGTGCAGATTTCCTTGGGGTCGTTTTGCAGTCCAGGCTTTGTCACCTCTCCCGTTTCACGTTTCGGTGTGTGTCGGATCGAGCAGCCAACTTTTTTTTTTTTTTTTTCCTTTTAATGCCCTTCTGGCCTGAAGCCAGGAGCTCGGCGTTAAAGGGCTGGTGGCACCGTGCTCGAGCGCTGCTCCTGAGCTCGTTTCAAGCCGAGGCTACGGGGCAATTCCTGCTGTGAAACGCAGGTTTTTGGGGCTCCAAAAACGATGGGCAGGGGTCTTACATGGCCGGTGACCTTTTCTGATTTAATACTTTATAGATTTCACGTAGCAAACTGGGTTTCTGTCCATCTCGTGAACCACCTCTTGGAGATTTCCCTCTTCTTTTTGGCTACGTAGCCAGAAAAACTTTGCTGGAGCATCTCGGGTAGTGCCAACTTGCCAACAAGCCCCAAATTATCAGGAGAAGGAGAAGATGGATGTGTCCAAGGGATGGGGAGAGTCACTGCGGATCCCCCGGGGACGAGCTGCTTTCTCCCCTTACCTCTGACTCGCCTTAAACGTGGCCCCGCCGCTGACTTTTCTGGAGGCGATAGACGGGAGTATATTTTAAATTAATTTTACTCCACTTTTTGTAATATTTTTGTTTTAAATAGATTTATAAGCGGCTTGGGGGCTATTTCTCCAAATTTATGAAGATAATTTTCGCTCTCTTGATAAGGTTAAATTTACACCTGCTATTTCCATATTAATTCACATTGCTAAGTGGATCTAATTTTCTTCCGTTCTTCTATCTAGTGAGTGTGGCCTTTCCTAATGCAATTTCCCCCTCACTAAATCACTGTGATCGGGAGTCATGATCGAGTTAAATTAACTTAAATTAATTTACTTAATAAGAGCTCCAGATCATTGTGAATGAGGTGAAGATTTATTGATCCTCCTTTTCACTCCTCCCCCTTATCTCGCCGCGCTTTGCAGGAGCGCGGCGCGGGAGGGCTCTGATCTGCTCGCCTTCAATTTCATTTTCTCCTTATTGACGTGGCGGTCGGCCATCGCCTGGAATTCGTGCAGGGACATCTTCTCCGTGGCCAGGAGGGGGCCGAGCTGCTCGACACGGAGGAATCGGGATGGAGGAGTGACGGCGGCGTTCGCAGGTCCTGGAAACGTCTTCAGCCCTTCCGCGGTGCCTTCCTTGGACGAGATGCTGCTCCTGGCATCTTCCGTGGCTTGTGGGGCCAAAATTGTGCCCGCTTTGCCCAGGTGGGGTGTCCAGGTAGGAGATATCCACAGGCCTCGTGGGCTTGAGGGTTCTGTAGGGTTGGGGAAACTACTAGAGGAGAAGGTAGGGTGTCAACCCGGTGCATTTTGGTTGGAGCTGGAGGATGAAGATGACGGCAGGAGGATGCTCCTGGCTGTTGGAGATGCTCCCCTTGCAAATCCACTTGCTCCACGGAAGCAATGGTCTTCTTGCCAGCCAGAGAAAGCCAAAATCCTTGAGCACGCAACCCAAGATATCAATGGGAAATGTCCCTGTTACCCTTTGGGGGACAACGCGCCTGGTGCTATGTGGTGGGCTCCACCAGGAACCGTCCCACGAGCACTGACCAGGAGAAGGAGACCCCAACTCACCCATTTACGGAGAGACAAACCCGCTTTGAGACCATTTTTTTGGGGAGCAGATGGGCTGATGTCGCGTTCGGAGATCCTAGTTCCGGGCAACTTCAGCACTGACCCACTTTGAACAGTTTTCTTTGAAAATAATGATGCCTGCGTTGAAAAGAAAAGTAACCCGTCTGCAAATATTGTCTGGCGCTGGTGGGAAAGCTCAGATATTTCCTTCAGAAAACTTTGCAGCTCCTCTGGAGGGACAAACTTCACCCTCCAGCGTTATAAATAAGTAAAGAACAAGGTAATAAAACATTTGTCAGGGAAAGTGCCTGCTCAGTAGAAAAGGCTCGTCAGCAGAGGATAAGCTTGTGTATTTTAGTTTTGTTTTCTTCTTTTCTTTCTGTTCCTTGGCCTGGAGCGATGTGGAAGGACCAGGCTGGAACAGGAGCCTCGTTGGCTCGAGTCCTTTCCTTTCCTTTCCTTTCCTTTCCTTTCCTTTCCTTTCCTTTCCTTTCCTTTCCTTTCCTTTCCTTTCCTTTCCTTTCCTTTCCTTTCCTTTCCTTTCCTTTCCTTTCCTTTCCTTTCCTTTCCTTTCCTTTCCTTTCCTTTCCTTTCCTTTCCTTTTCCTTTCCTTCCTTTCCTTTCCTTTCCTTTCCTTTCCTTCCTTTCCTTTCCTTTCTTTCCTTCCTTCCTTTCCTTTCCTTTCCTTTCCTTTCCTTTCCTTTCCTTTCCTTTTCTGTACGTGCCTTTCCTTTCCTTTCTTCCTTTCCTTTCCTTGCATTTCCTTTCCTTTCCTTTCCTTTCCTTTCCTTTCCTTTCCTTTCCTCCCCAAGAAGTTTGGATATCCACCAGCAGC